ATAAATAAATAAATATATATATATATATAATTGGAGTGGAGAAAAACCATTTCATAATTCCCCTAATCTTCATTCTTCAACAAACAATTATATATTATGAGACATTTAACAATAAAAATTATATATTATGAGAAATTATCTTTAACAATAAAATGATTGAGATTCCTACAGTAGCACATGAAATAATAACCTAACTCAAGTCTCTTGAACTATTAGGTTTGAATGAAAAATCGTTAGCTTCACATATGCGTATATACATAATACATATATATGTAATATAATTTTGATGTAAATTTGATCAGATGTAAAATTTAGAAACGTAATCTATCATTAGAGGTAAAAACTTCTAAAATGACTCATCCATATGTCAATTATATTACACAAATCTAAGGACGTCTCTTTTAAAATACTATGTAAAACATGCAAACTCCTGCTTTTGGGGGAAAGTGCTAGTGCTAGTACTAGTGCAATATAATTGATCTTTCTTGTCGGAATTTTCTTTGTCAGGGCTTGAAATTTATACTTTAAATTTAAGTAGTTTTGTATCTCAATTTTTTTTTAATGGGGGTTTTTTTTTTTTTTTTTTGAATTTGAAATATTGGATAGACGAGAAAAAGTTGCAATACTCGTGCATAATTAAGTAAAAATTGAGGTGTAATTTTTTTGAGTGGTTTTATTCAACCCTTTTTTTGAACACCTCCTTCTATCTACACCCCACATAATTTTTATATAATTAAATTTATTTTTTACACATCCCTATATACAAAAATTACCCCTAGCTATTTTCATAAAATTATTAAGGGTGGTATTATTCACACACCCTCTTTACTCTTCATATCCCCGTCTAACACACACCTTAGATAATTTAATTTGTTACTTTAATATTATCATTTATATGTTCTCTCGATTTTTTTTTTGTTGAAGCTTTGAGCTTGGAGTTTTTTAGTTCAATAAGGGATTTCATTAACTAGAAATAAAGAAAAATTCAAAATAAACAATTCTTTTGAGCAACAAAATAAACAATTCAGGAAAGAAAAAAAGAAAATAACACAAGTAAAAATAGTAAAATAAAAATGTAAAGAAACAAACGATAGCAGAGCATATGAACACGAGCATGTATTATATGCATTGACATAAATTATATAAAATGGCAAAAAAAACAAAAAAAAAACAAAAACAAAAACAAAGTACGAGCACAAGCAGCAAAGAAAAGAACAAGGGGAAAAACACTAATTTTGAATTTGGGGAAAACGAAAAAAAAAGGTGAAATAGTTAGCTTAAAAAAACTAAAAGATTAGAAAATAAGTATAAACACGAAAGAGGAAAAATAAAAAATAAAAGAACAATCATAATACAATAAATAGTAAACAAAATTTATCATAGCTTTATGAAACTTTTTGGAATAGTCATTAAAAGATGAAAATTAGGATTTTGTTATAGATTTCAAATTAGTCATAGTTTATAATTTGGGAATACAGCGTGTGGTCTGTGGAGGGAAAAAAACTTCAATTATTAATTTCCTCTTTGTAGTAAAATTTAATTATGTAATTAAGTCTATTGTTTTTTTGTCATTTTTATTTTTATGTAAGGGTCTTTTTGTTATAAAAAATTTTAATTTAAAGAGAGTGTGAAGAGTAAAAAAGGGTGTGTTAATAGAACCACCTTTTTTTTTTAACATTCGGCATAGAATTAAGAATTTAGAAATGGGATAACAACATATATGACCATTTTTTAAAGACTTTTTAGAAAGATAAAGAAGTTTTGTAAAATTAACAAAATAGCCATTTCTTTTACTAACTTAGTAGTCAATCACTGATTAACTTAGTAGTCAATAAATGATTGATTATCTATCACTAATTGACTTAGCGGTAAACCACTGATTGACTTAAGTTTATCACTGATTAACTCTATAATTTTTCATTATTAATCAATATCAATTAATACTTAACTAAAATCAATTAGTAATTAATCAATTTCAATCAGCAGATTACATGTTTATTAAGGTTAGATAATTGGTAAATTATAATAATGAATCAGTCAATAAATGAATGATCGTCGGTCAATCTCTGATTGACTATTGGAAAAAACGACCATTTTCTTAAAAATAAAAACAATTCGGCCATTTATTTAAAAAATAAAAAGTTCAGCTATTTATTAAAAAAAGTGGTAAAAAATAGCCATTTATTTGATTTCTCTTTAGAAATTCCATACAAAATTAGAAAAACAAAAAGAAAAATAATATATTTTAAAAAAATAAATGGAGCAAGCAAAGCCCTTGGCTCCATCCTTAACTTTTCTTTTACATAACTCTTCACTTGCAGCAGTAATACCAGTAAATTTGTATATTTACTTTCATATATCAATTTTACATGTATTTTCTTTTGTTGTGATTTTGATAAAATTTAACACCCAAACTACGTTATTCATTGTTTCTTAAAGGTAGAAATTTGTAATTGCACTTATGATCTTACTTCGTAATGAGGATTGGTATTGATACAATATTCAAAATACCACGTGTAATTAATTAAAATGATTTACGTTCAGAGAAAAAAAGGAAATTACGCGTCTCACCCTTTAGAACGTCAATAAAAAAGAATTATCCTGTATGTACTTTGTGCTATCACATGATATTATTAATTTGCATTGGGGTTGGCAAACTAACTGGAAGCTCTAATTTCTTCTAAAAAAATGCTATGGCCGCCGGCAAAGAAGAAAATCAAATTCAGAAATGTTTTCCATTATGTATTATGTATTGTGCTGTTGCAAAGATTTTATTCGTCTCTCTATACATTTCTAGTTTTTATTGTTTGAGTTGTAATATTCTACCGCAATAAGTCGTGCAAGGGCTGCCAACTACATTAGTAACTCAAAACACATATTTCAACTTCTTTCTTTCAATAATATTGCAAAAGAAATTTCCTTTGATTTTTCCTTTGGATTTTGGAAAGAGCTCTATTTTCTATGTCCATGTATATATGCCTGAAACTGGGAAGCGCGAAGAGCGCCAGAATCTCAGGTGGGACTTCATATATATATATATATCACACACACACAAAAATATAATATAATATGCTAATTAGTTTTATAAATTGTTAGCAAACTGGGTTAGCATTTTTTTTTTTTTTTGCAATAATTATATAGCTATTTCTCATGTTGTGTAATGCAGATCCCAAGCGAGAATCATGAGCTAAATCTTTATGATTTATATCTTATCAGAGAAGACTTATCAAATATAAAGTATTTGAAGTCGGTACACATTGGTTCACATTTAAAAATTAGGAGTATTTGAAGTCGGTACACATTGGTTCACATTTAAATTATCAGAGAAGACTTATCAGATCCCAAGCGAGAATCATGTTGTTAATTGGACTTTCTTTCTCTTTGATAAATCTCTATTCCATTTCTGGCTAATGCAACTTATGGATCATGAGACTAGGATTTAGATTTTATATAGAGCATGATCAAGTGTTCGGAACTGAACTCCCTTAAAAATGGTAAAAGAAAAAAAAAAAAAAGAAAAGGAATCAGGTGTTAACTGTTAAGGGAAATTTTGTTATTTTTTTTGCAGCCGTGAACCAAACGAACATATAGTACTCTACAAGGAATAAGTACCGTCGTTACTTTCCACGTCGATGAGTGGTTTGACCGGTATAGTAACTGTTCATGTTGGCCACCCAACAATTATCTTAGAAAGTGGCAAAAAAAAATGGCTTTTTATATTGTCAATGGCAACCGATATGAAAAGCATGATTTACGACATTGTTGGATTCTACATCGGTCTGATGACTGACGCCGTATGTTTTTCACATCAATTCAAAATCGACGTAGGTTTCTTTTATTGATACCGTTATCAATAACAGAAATTAAAAGTAGTAATTAAAGATATCCTTTTATCAAAACTAGATAAGAAACATGGTTTATTAACTTTTACAATGGAGTTCATCATTCTAGAATCTCCTTTATTTTTTTGTTGGAGACGTTCATGTATAAGGATAGAATAGTTGATCATTATATATATTCAAATTAATTCCTTTCTTATCCCTCTTTTTCTAAAGTTCCTTTTTGTACTTGTCAATTGTCATTCCTTTTAGCACATACATATTATAATCAAGCCAAAGACAGTTCCCATTTTCTCTCAGGGTGAGGATATTCTGACCATTATAACCACTTTATTATTTTATCGTCTCTCAACCAGCAGTACTTGCTACACACTTAATCGTATTTCCAATGTCACAGTTGTTTTGTTGCCTAAAATAATAACGACAACAATAATAAATTAATAACAATAATAGCATGAACAATTGTATAATTGCAAAATTTAGATAAGTCCTTTTCATGGTAGTTATGTATTTGACGCTTACATCACTATGGAGGCTTAAAGAGGAGGAATGAATTTTATATTAAATTAATCCATCTTTAATCATCGTTGCTTGAACTTGGTCCCTCGCTTAGTTGTCTCACGCGTGTGATTGATTAAAGAATTGTGACTTCTTAATTAATTAATTCCTATACTAATGATTGGAACTAAATTAATTTTATTTGGAGAGGGAATTATTTTCTTTGCTGATGAAGTCAATGAATGATGTGTTCAGACACTTTTCATTATTGCTACCTATAAATACTCTTCATCATATTTATCCCAAAGCACCATATCAAAGCAAATTTGAGTCATTATAACTAACTAATCATTTTTTTCCCTCTACCTAATTAAAGAAGAGAAATATGGACCTTTTGGGTGGTTTTTCAGCAGGAGAATGGAGCCCCCTAAATGAGATTTACAACTCAGAAGATCATGTTGATTATGATCATGATCATGATCAGTTGATGGCTGCTCATATGGACTGTGCTGTAGCAAATTATAACATAATTATGGGGGCTTCAAGCTTGGAAGCACTCCCATTTACCATTTGGCCTAGCAATGACTCAACAATAGTTCACGACGTTGCAGGCTCTACTTATAATCAAGATCATGCTCCAAAATTTGGTTCTTCACAAATTGCGAATTATCAGCCTGCAGATACTAATTCGGTGGCAAGCAATGTCGCGTTTTGGGGGGATAGAGGCGCCAACTTGTTTCTCATAAATGATCATCAGTGGCTGAACATCAATCATCAAGAAGTGAGCTGCAATGGGGAAGAATCTGGTGGAAGCCAGACTACTGCAGCTCATGTTGTTCCACAGCTCAAATGGGAAGTACCTGATCAAATGATGATCACTGTACCGGATCAATTAAACATGGAAGATGGAAGTGATCTTGTTTCTGGGAATTCCAAGAAAAGATCAAGGAGTAGTACACCAGATGATCAAGTGAGTAATAATAACAATGCTATTTATTCTTTTCTTATATACTACTTCTTGCATTGAAATTAGGGATATTGACCAAAAAAAAAAAAAAAAATCTCATTAATTACTATTCTAGGATCCAAAGAAGTACAAGAGGAATGTTGTAAAGCCGAGGAAGAATAAAAAACTTGGGCTAAGTGACAACGAAGAAGATACAAGTGCAGGCTCAGGAGAACACTCAGATGCTTCTCATGAAGATCTTGGAGCTGGAATGGCTTCAAGCCCGAGCCCGAGTCTGAAAGAAGCGGCGGCTCCAAACCTGAATGGAAAAAAAAGAGCCACAAGAGGTTCTGCAACTGATCCTCAGAGCATCTATGCAAGAGTAAGAAATTGATAATTGAAAGCTTTTCAATTATTTGCAGAAGTTTTGAGTATAATATTTTAATAGGCATTTTGTACTTGTAATATTGCAGAAGAGAAGAGAGAAAATCAATGAGAGGCTGAGAATATTACAGAACCTTGTCCCCAACGGAACAAAGGTTGGTAGAAGCAATTAATCTGTGTTTCTCAAAGGTGTCACCCAATTAGAAAGTTCAAGACTAATGTTGGGTTGTTCTTTGTCATTTCAGGTTGACATTAGCACAATGCTTGAAGAAGCTGTCCAGTATGTGAAGTTCTTGCAGCTTCAAATCAAGGTAAAACAACATTTCCGAATTCAAATTTCCAGATTGAATTGGAGGAATACCACTCTTACGGAATCGAGATTCGAATATATTACTCTTGTAAAAAATTTATACGTTATTTACGCTTAAAAGTGGTACAGATGAATAACTAGACTTCAAAAATGAGTATTCACCCACCTAATTTACACTCAAATTTCGAGGTGGAGAGAACAAGATGGGCCTATGATGGGCCAGCCATTAGCTAGCCTGAGCCCAATGTCTTGTTCACACCACACCATAATACATGGTGTGTGTGTGTGTGTTTGTTTTTATTAATAATATTTTTTTCAGAAAATTTTAAATGAATAACTAGACTTCAAAAATGAGTATTCACCCACCTAATTTACACTCAAATTTCGAGGTGGAGAGAACAAGATGGGCCTATGATGGGCCAGCCATTAGCTAGCCTGAGCCCAATGTCTTGTTCACACCACACCATAATACATGGTGTGTGTGTGTGTGTTTGTTTTTATTAATAATATTTTTTTCAGAAAATTTTAAATATAGTGTTGACGTCAAGCACTAAAATACTTCTTAGATATTCTTAAAAAAGGAAAAAAAAAAAAGTGAATAGTACTTCCCAAGTTAATTCTTGTTTTCGTTTTTGAATTTTTACAGCTTTTAAGCTCTGATGATCTATGGATGTATGCACCTCTAGCTTACAACGGAATGGACATTGGACTTGATCATTTGAGGCTCGCTGCTCCAAGGCAATTGTAGAAGACATATACATACATATATATATATATATATATACACATGTATATATATATATATATGTACAAATATTAGCTGTTATTTTCCCTCTTAAGATTACCGGCTTTTACAGAATTGACTAGAACAGTCAGAGAGAGCAGCAATACCTTGAACATGAGATGGATGATTATTTCATATCTATCCATCCATTGACCCATATTAGGAAGCTTAATTGTTCTTGCCATCTTCGTAGTCATTCTGATCAACGCCACAAATTGATCAATCGAACTCATAGGTTGATGATGAAGACTGTGTGAGAATTTTTTTTTTCTTTTTTTTTAGGAAAATAAGTATGGTAAATAGTGTTGAAACTATAAAACTATATTAATGAAGAAGTTTGAGGGTTTTTTTTAGCTGATTACTCTATACATTTTCCTCTGTATATTTTACAATGTATATTCATGGATATTGTTTAATTTCCTTCTCATGAAGTACAACAGTCAAGATGGCGAACTTTTTACGAGATCCCTAGTGTTCATGTTTATGAACATTAAATCTCACCAAAATCTTACTAAAATGGAAAAAGTATTCACAGAATGTTATACAAATATGACGGTTTAAACAGAGTCCCGTACTATTTTTATACTTACCATCATGCTTTGTATAAACATAGTGTATATTATATATATATATATATATATATATTATACACAAACCTCAGGCTCAGGGTCCTTTCTTGGCCTTTGTAAATATATATAACAGCTAGGGGTGGCAAACCAACTGGCATCTGATCTTTTTTTCTAAAAATTCTTCTAATTAGGCCGGCTAAGGATTAAATTGTATAATGTATTTGAAAAATATTTTCTAGTATATGTTGCAACGATTATATTTGTCCCTCAATATTGTACTATATGTTTTTTTTGTCGGGCAGATAATATTCTACTGCAAGAAGTCGTACAAGGGCTGGCATGCACTGATTATAAAACGACAATATATTTTTCTTCTTTCTGTTTATAGTGCAAATTTAAATTCCTTTTGGAAATAACTTAATTTCTTCATTGCCTAAAATGGGAGGGAAGCGCCAAGAGCGCCAGAATCTTAGGTGGGACTTGCTCACTCTAATTAAGCTTCTTAGGTAGGGTACTCTTTTGGTTTTAGTCTCTTAATTAAACTTTTTTTTTTTGTGTGGCTAAAGTCACTTAATTAAACTTAATTAGTCAGTGTGTTAGCAAACTGGGTTTGCAAAACGAAAAACAAATTAGACAAAAACAAAAACCAAGACAAAAAGCAAAAAACAAAAACAAGGGAAAAAACTAGGAAAAAACATGGAAAAAGAAATTGGGGTTTACATGCAGGATTCCTTCTCAAGGAGGGGTATCCTCAATCTTCAACACTTTGTACTTTTTTTTTAGGTTCTTCAACGTTTATATCTTGGCATGTATTGGTTTCCTAATTATAAAATTGGCTATAGTAACCTCGTACATCGATTAGAAATTTGGTTCCTTATTTAAGATTTTTTAGCTGGTTATTCCGATAATATCAATTCATACAAACATGCGACACAACAAGTGAATTGTATTATGCCAAAGGAAAAAGTGTATTGTCATTTTTATTTAATAGGAAAAACAGTCTCATTTCTTCAAGAAGAAGAGACAATTGTTGGGTATAAGATCTAGTCCGCAAAAATAAAAGGGTGATATAGAGAAATGACCCCTTATTAGATGGACATAAAGTTTTATACTTTATTTTATGCTTTCCTTTTTCAAAAATAAAAAAAAAACTACGTTTTTGTCTTCATTTTCTGTCATTATTATCAATCTAAATAGGGTGGAGTTCTAAGAAATGACACTAAACTAAAAAAGTAAATTAAGGGGGTGCATTTCCTAATTTTGTCAAAATATCATTTGGAACATCTCTAGCAAGATGGACCAACCTTATATAACGAATCCTTTTTGCAAGACCATGTAGATCTTCATGCAATGCAAACTCTAGTTTCCATTTTCAAAAAAAAAAAAAAAAAAATCCTTATTAATTATTGAGAAACCAATCCTATCCTATATATAATTAAAATAAGTTAATGGCATTCCCTAGTTTTTAAAGGGTATTTCCAAATTAGATAATTATAAACATTCATTTTTCATGTTATTTTTTCTTACACAAAAAATTGGTATACATAAAAGTTGGACTTTTGTGGAGCATATATGTTTTTTTTTTTTTTTTTTTTTATAGAATATATGGAGGATATATAGCATAATTTAGCATACTAAATAGTTACACTTAATAAAGGCCCCTCTTTTTGGTGATAAATCTGAGGCAAGTTAGAGGAATATTATAGCATGATCAAGCTTAGAAATGAATTTTCTAGCAAAAAACAAAAAAACAAAACAGTGAAAAATTAATCCTAAAACGGGGAATTTGGGAATTGGTCCAAATTGATCAGTACTTTTTAGTCAATGGGATTAGCTGTGAACAAAATCAACATATATTAACACACCCTTGTTTTTGTTGGAACAAAACCAACATACCCTGATCAAAAGAAAGGCAAGTATTCCGGCAATAATAAATCAGGTTAAAAATTCCCACCTGGGTCAATGACAATAAATTTGCATCTGGAAACCAATTATAAACTGAAATAAGTCAAATATTAATCAAGACATTTTGTAAAAAGTCTGCTCTAATTCTCTCTCACTTCTTTTTGCAATATTCTTTGAAACAAGAAGACAATTGAATGTAAGTTCTTGATAGATTCCAAGTTAAAGACAAACATGATCCTTTTCAGAGATTTTTTAGGGTGACCAATCTACTGTTTATATGATGATTATTATATTCAAGTTTTTATGGCCTTTGATCTCTAAAATAGAGCATTTATAATCGTCAAAGCTAAATACCGTATTCAAGCCAAGTAGTTCCAATTTGCTCTTAAAAGATGGGGATTCTTTTCATTGCTCAATTTTAACTTCATTAAAAATTATAATCTTCTTGACACTTTTTTTTCTTTTCTTTTTTCTTTTTGGGAAAACCTACTGCCTTCCATATTCAGTCCACAGTTGTTATTAGCCAAAAAATTAGTGACAAATACTAATTATAAAAATGAATAAATAATTATAGAGCTAAGTCATTTTCATCTTTCTCCCAACATTGCTTGAACTTATCCCTCTCTTTAGCTGTATATATGCCAATTCAGCAGTTATAACACCACATTATAATTGGTGCTTCAAGTTTAGAATGCCCACTTCCCAATTTCACTTATTATGAAGGTTCTGCTCCACATTTGTCTTCGGGTATATTCGCCAATTCTTACAACTCATACACTACCTTGGTGAAAAGCTTAATAGCTCTCCTCTAGCTCCTTGTGAGGGTGACGTTGTCATGAGAAACAACGACCAGTTTCTCAGCGTCGAAGGAGGTCACCGTCATCAATGCCTGAACCAAGACTTTGTCAGTAATGGAAATTATGGTGGAAATAACCAACCTGCGGTGTCCCATAACGCGATGTTACACGAAGAATTGACCGTGGAAAATGGAAGCCGGTTCAGGAATAGTTACATGAAAAGATCGAGAAGTACTCCTATTATTCCAGCAGAATATGGTCAAGTAAGTAGAATTTTCAATGAGAGTTTAGTTATGATTTCTTGCAAATTTTTGCATTCTCATTAGGGATATTCTCATTGACATGATTCCATTTAACTGAATATTCATCATTATTGTAGGATCCAAAGAACAAGAGGAATGTAAAGTCAAGGAAGAATGCTGCTCAAAAGCTTGCTATGAGTGACTACAATGAAAAAGATGGCAATGCTAAAGCGCCAATTAGCCCCAACAGCTTCTACTCCGCTGGAGAATACCCAAATGCTTCTCATGAAGAGCTCGGAGGAGTAGCTTGGAGTTCAAGTCCTAAAGGGTCTCCAGCTCTGAACCTGAACGGAAAAAAAAGGGCGACGAGAGGGTCAGCAACCGATCCCCAGAGCGTCTATGCAAGGGTAAGCATGCAGTACTAATTACTTACGTCCTCAAATTGTGTAAAAAATATGCTGCAGCTTAATTACAAATTGATTAAGCCATGCTTTATTTATTTGTACCTTGCAGAAGAGAAGAGAGAAAATCAATGAGAGGCTGAAAATACTGCAGAACCTTGTCCCCAATGGAACAAAGGTTGGAGTAGAAATCATGTGTATAATATAAAAATGAAAATGCTGATCACCTCAATAACTTTGAAGATTAACTAAATAGGCTCTTTGGCATATGGCAGGTTGACATTAGCACAATGCTTGAGGAAGCTGTCCAGTACGTGAAGTTCTTGCAGCTTCAAATCAAGGTAATTAAAAATTTCAAGGTTACAATATCTAGATCTTATAATAACATATTGTTCCTACGCATTTTTATTTTAAAAATTGTACGTTTAGTGGATCCATAATTGCTTGTTTTTTGGTTTGGATTCTTATAGCTCTTAAGCTCTGATGATCTAAGGATGTATGCACCCCTCGCCTACAATGGAATGGACATTGGACTCAATTTGAGGAATATCTTCGCTCCAAGACAATAGGAAGAACACATGCTCACTTAGCCTTTTTTCTTAGTAATGAATATGATTCACAAAATTGACTAGGAACTGCCAAAGACAGCACCTATCAATCCAACATATAGCCTATAATTAATTCGTATTCATCGTGTTTATCGTCGACATTTTGATCAACGCCTTTAATTGATCAAATACTTTAGTTGAAGCATTAATGGAAGGTTAATCTTCATTTATTTTTAATAATCATCAACTATTGGAGGTAATTGGATACTGCATGCATGGTCGCGGAACAATATTGACTCTCAGCAATTAAGAAATAGAAGAATTTTAGTTACATAGTTGTTAACTACTGATCATTTTGTTTTTATATTTTCATTCAAGGATCTTAAGAAGATCTTAATTAAGTTCACTAAAAAGATTCTTGTACCTAAATTCATTTGTCGTCTAATGTTATATTTTTTTGGAACCATTAATGATAATATGGGCCAAATTAAGCTGCAGATATGTGAACTGAAATCTTTGCCTTCTTAGTAATTAAAGGAGTTTTATATTGCTTGAAGCTTATATCCTTAATTAGCACACATTTGACTGCTTCAATATTATTGAAAAGAATTGAGCCATATACAAGTTGGATTACGAAATCTTGGTAAAGATCTTTATGTCTAGCATATATAAATTAAATTCGATATATTTGTGGGAGTGTATTTTAATTTTAGAGAATATCATTCCTACATTTATTTTGAAATATGAAAATTAGGTGGAAGGATTAAGCCCCGGCCGAGTTCATAATTTGCCCACAAATCATGAAAACATACGTAACATATTAAATCAAACTTATGTAGCTACTTGTTAAAGCAACTCACTAATCTTTTGAATTATCAGCAAGCAATATAAACCTCCGTACCACTTGAATATTCTCAATTTTTTTTTAGTCTGTGAATTTAGGCACATTATCGAACCATGTTAAACTTTCTTATCGAACCACTTTAAACCCTAACCAGCCAGCCACCCCCTTCGCTTGGCGATGGCTGATTTTGCGATCAAAGATTGCTGTTAGTTTTGTGCACAAGGAAGAGAAGAGGAGAGAAAATGATGCTGAAACAGATGTATCCTCATCTTCTTCAGGGGCCTCCAAATTCCTCAACGCCACTTCTTCAAACGATTTATTACTGGAAATATTCACTTGACTTCCCGATCAGTGGTCCGCAATCCAATGCAGCTCCTCTGCAACCTTTGGCACTCTCTGATTTAGACCCTAAATTCGTTCGCAAATTCATTCAGCAATACAACCCCAATTCATTCATTCATTCGCAAGCTAATCCCAATTGCATTTTTCTTTATGAATTCTCATGCAAAGATCTCCCACCCAGGCCCGGAGCAAGCTTTAATTGAGTGGGGGCTCAAGCCCCACTCAACTATTTTGTCTTTTTAAAAATATATACATAAATAAAAAATTTAGTATAGTAATACATACTTAGCCCCCACTAAAATTTAAGAATTTTATCTTCTTGTCCTTATTAACTATTTGGCTTAATTTATTTAGGCTAGGTCAGGTATGGGCTAGGCCGAAACTTAAGCCAGGCCTAAGCCCTTTCACGGGCTCCTTAGGTCAGGCCTAACCTATCTTAGTGCCTTTGGGAAGTTACTCATAGTCCTGGCCGAGCTCATTTTATACCTTAAGTTATTGCACACACCGGGAAGTTTTAATATATATGTTAATATTTATATGGGAAGTTTTGATATATATATATATATATATTTATGTGTGTGTTTTCTTTTGAAATATCA